CTTTCACTTTTTGTGAACATCCCTTAAGTATTTTTGGAAGGTTTTCTGGTGTTCAGTTGTCTTTATAAATCATAAGTCCATCAAACACAAAGGAGCCTACTTCAATGTCTTGTTCAGTTACATAATCAAAAGCAAGCATCAATGCTTTGTTTTCTAAACTACACATCACATAATTTACCGTAGTACCATCAATGTTGTAGTTTGTACCTCTATTATCCTTTGACTGTTTGGCTAATGCATACAATTCTGGTCGTAGTTTAACAATTGACTGCATAATGTGTCTCATTCCACTATAAAATTCTTTGTACCAACTTGGATCATCAGGTGTTAGTTGCACACGTCTTCCGTTAATAATAGCTAATAAAGGTGCCTTAACTTTATCCTGTGTTTCATTAGTTCGTGTCATCCAATTTGCCATGTACTGTTCCCAGTTTTGAATGAAATCATCAAGCCCATCGCATTTAATACCATTGTCATGACGATACCATGATAACAATATGGGATGTGCATTCTTCATGTCAATGTCATACATGATGTCTGAACACAAGGTGTGCCTAATTTTTCGACTCATGTTTTGAATACCTAGTTTTTCACTAGTCCAGTATCTACCAAAATTATGTCTTTGGTAATTTTTCATCACACATTCACCTTGCTTGTTAACCCTTGAAAAGTAATCCTTCATTAATGTTAATTGTGCATTCTTTTCCAAGTTAACCCCCATTAATGCATCGACTTCCCAATTCAAAATTATCAGGGTGAGACACAATGTATTCCATTTTACGTTTGTCAATAACTTCACGTAGTTGAATGACTCGATTGTTTTCTGAGGTAGATGGGTTAACCTTGTACAATTCAGGATCTAACGGTAGGTCACCAAACACGTTTTCCATATTTTTAAAACCTTCACGAGGGGTTGCTTTCACTAATTTTTCTGAAGTTGTACTCATAAATTTTAAGCTGTCTACAAATCTTAAATGTTGGTACAGTGGTTTCTTTTCACCGTCCTTCTTTGATGTGTATTCACCTACTTTAATTCTTTTGGTGAATGAAATGTATTTCTGATCGGTGTTGGGAATACATGTAATTGGTCCTTCTGTTACACCCAAATTTTTAATGAACAAATAACTGTCATACCCAGCTAAATTATGAAAGTACACGGGTATGAACTTGGGTACCTTGTTCTTCAAGTTACACTCGTTGTGTGCTGCGCCCCTGTACTTACCGGTGAAGTGACAGTGATCTCTGACTTTTTCCTCTCCTAAAGCATTGTCACAAAGCCAACACTGTGTTGAAGCCTTGTAATTACTCTTGTCCTCCATCGTCATTACCATCGGTTTTTTGAAGTCGTTCTGGGAGTAAATGGCTTTGATTTCTTTCTCAAGTCTTTCAACGAAAATTTGTGCCACATTTTCTCCTTCCATTTGCATGGTGTAAAGTACCAGTTCTTTAGTAAAGACACTTTCATCAAAGCATTTAATGTAATAACAAAATCCCGATGGTGTATTCTTTTGATACACTTTGGTGTGTGGTTTGTTTGCAACCTTTAGTTTGACTTTTTTAAGAAACTTTTAAAACTTTTTAACAGTAAAGCACTCAAAGTCTGCATAAACCACAAAAGGACCTGTCATCGATATGACGTAGTTCTCAAAGCTTTAGTAGGCTCCTTTACCGGGCATCTCGGTCTTAACTGCTTTGTGGTTAACGCAATACTCTTTATGAATCTTAAGTACATTCTTGCTGTGAAAGTGGTTTAAGCACCTGTAGCATAAATAAATCTCACCGTCGTGTTCCGAGATCTGACTCGAAATCAGTCGGGACATATTCTTGATCCAGCAGTATAGTGTCTTCGTCTGTCACCTTCTATCATCAACAAGTTGATCATTTCATTTCTTTTTTCAGCAAATTTTGAATAATGTAGTACATATATATTCAGTATCATCATCAATTCCATATACATTAAATGCTAAAGTAGTGTTCATTTTCTCAAATTTTCTAATATCATCAAGTTTCAACGGGAATTCCAATCCTTTTAGGTTTAGTTCATCTTTCCATTAACAGTACGGAGTCCATCTTTGTGTTTTCTTTTGGTCTACCTCTTTATGATGCACGGCTTAAAATACTTATCATCTTTGTTTTGAACATTAATTCTTTAGTCCATTTTGGTAAAGCTACATACTGCGAACCGGATAACGGTGAGTGTTTGTTAATGTTAAGTTGCAATTTCACGATTTCCTTTAATGTCCACCCACTCTTCTCAGAGGTAGGTCCACTCGGCAATCTTTTCTCCGATCTTTTGATCCATCTTTTCCAAAGTTTCAAAGAGGTCGGTGGCTTCTGTTATAATTCGATGTCCCGAATTAAAGTGTCCTTCATTTTCATCAACCTCTTTATCTGTGGGGTTGATTTTGACAAAAGTACAGTGTAACACCACATTAATTTTATCCCCTTTCAATCCACGATTTCGAATGATGTCCATCCTTTTCCCTCGTGTTACCTCAAGAAAGGTCTGGATGTCCATTTCAACATCCGATGTTATTTTCCAGGTAGTTAATGCACTTTTTAAGGATCTAATTGGTTCATGTACCTGAATCATGGACTCTTGATCTTTCTTGATTTTCTCACCTATCACGTATTTGAAAAAACACCTATATTTCTGCATAGTGTGACAGAACTGTTACTAGGGTTTAGGGGGTTAGGGGTTAAACTGGTGGGAACCGGATTCTTACTTATTCTAAAAAATAGATGGATGACCTACTTTCATTTTCAGTTTTGTAGAAAAAATGATCGAAAGTGAAAGTGTGGCAGAACTGTCAATTCTATACTACTTTTATCCTCTATACTTTCTGCACACCAACGTTGTCCACCTGCCTCGTCCTCTTCCTTCTTTAGCACAACATCACTACGGTTTGAAATCAGTTTCAATACATACCTCAGTGTGTACGGCGTCAACTGTTTTTATACGACCGCAAAAATTTTGCGGTCGTATATTGGTATCACGTCGTCGTCTTCGTCGTCGTCGTCGTCAGCGTCGTCCGAAGACATTTGGTTTCCGGACAATGTGAATAGAAATCTAAATAAAAAAAATGTAAACACAAGGTTTATAACCACAAAAGGATGGTTGTGATTGATTTTGGGGGTTATAGTCCTAACAGTTTAGGAATAAGGGGGCAAAAAGGGGCCCAAATAAGCATTTTTCTAGTTTCGAGACAATAACTTGTGGAACGGTGTACGGATCTCTCTGAAATTATACCACAAGTTTCCATACCACAAAGGGATGGTTAGGATTGGCTTTGGGGGGTTATGGCTCAAACAGTTTAGGAATTAGGGTCAAAAAGGGGGAAAAACAAGGGTTTCCTGGTTAATGGACAATTACTTAAAAGTACAATGTTATGTTTGTATTACCTCCCTTACACTGCTTTTAAATTATGTATAAAGAAATGTTGTATTGTCTTGAGGTGATTAGCTGTCAATTTATTTTTAGAAGTTACTATTTAAAAATGTTGATTAAGGAATATTAATTTTAGCCATGATTATGTATGTCATTTTCAGCAGCATCTGCTTACCCTTCCGGCGCACCTGAGATCACCCCCAGTTTTTGGTGGGGTTCGTGTTGCTAAGTCTTTAGTTTTCTATGTTGTGTCATCTGTACTATTATTTGTCTGTTTGTCTTTTTATTTTTTGGTCATGGCGTTGTCAGTTTGTTTTCGATCTATGAGTTTGACTGTCCCTCTGGTATCTTTCGTCCCTCTTTTCTATTTTAAGACTTTTATGATGTATTTAAATGGTTAATTATGGTTGCAAACTCCATTGGAAATTTGAATTGAGATTATGACCATATCTTGAGGGGAAGAATTTTTTTTCGGAGGGAAAAAGGGGGGGTGTTGAAAAAAAAATTGGGGGGGGGGGATAAAAAAGAAATTGTGAGGGGGGGACAATTTTTTTTTCTCATTTCAGATTTCAGAAAATTAAAAAGAAAATTTCTTTAAATATTTTTTTTTTTTGCAAAACAAAAAGGGGGGGGGGGGGGGTCAATTAGCACAAAAGCAAAAGCAAAATATTGAATATAAATTCAAATCATATAACCAATTCTAAGTTCTTTGACTACAGTTATTCTGGGTCAGAAACCTATTATATGTCAAATATTTAATTACAATCCAAATTCAGACCTGTATCAAGCGCGAATATTGTGTCCATTTTTGCCCCAACTGCATGTTCAGGGTTGGACCTCTGCGGTCGTATCCAGCTTCGCACGGCGAAGCAATTTATTAGTATTTTTTTTCGAGGAGGACTTAACTCATAAAAGCTTATTTCATAATGGATGTGATGCAGCTTCTGGTGCATAGTCAACAAACACTAAACATTATGGATTATATGGCTATAAAAATTGAACTATATTATGATTAACTTATATCGGTATTATATGTCATGTTTAAACTGGTTTTCTTTTGTATTATCTATTATATTGTAATTGTGCAATATAAAAATCATTGTAATGATTATGCCCATAATGGGTCCTCTATTGGAAATAAAATAAAGTTTATCTTATCTGAATTCGGCAGATTACTTATCAAACGCATTTACCGGTTTCTCAGTCTGAAATATGCTAAGAGTTTTGTAACCGCTCTCTATTCTCAAGGATTTAATAGCCATGCATATCATTTGTGCACAAATAATTTATATAAAAAAATTATTTCATATAGTCTGAAAAAAAATCTGAAATAAGACTTGCAAAACACCGAACACCCCAAAATAATCTAAAACAATGAAAAAAACAAAATTTTATTATGTTATCTCATCTATTTCACGCATTTTAGTAAAAAGGTTAACAAAAAAAAATGACCCTAAAATGACATAAACGTTAGTTAATGAGACTCGGCGCACCAATAAAGACAATTTTAAGCGAACTGTGTCATGTTTTCTATAAATTCTTGATAAGAATAAGTAATTTTTCCAAACGCCGGATTTATCACCGACACGATTTTCTATTTATTTCACTAACATCCGGTCCTTTGATTTGCGTGGTCTCGAAATGGCTACAGCTGGTGATCCTCAGAAAAAAGAAGTTTTACCCTTTGTATACCAATATCTGAAAGATTTATGTTTTGATGGAGCAAAACAATTAAAGGAAACATTCAAAGTAGTAAGTTCGAAGTGTAAAAGTTCCCCATAGTGAGAGATATGTCTCAAACTTAAAGAGAAAAAAGAAAACACGTGGTTGTGTTGTTACATGAGAGTTCGTCGATCTCAAAGAGGAGGAGGTATCTATTTCCAATTCATTGTGTTTCTATGTATTCTATAAGGCAAGCAGTCAGAAAAAATCGATCGAAGAATTTAATTTTGGCTTAAATCTGACCTGACAAAAACTACTTTATTTGATAAGAAATACAAAAAGGGGGAGGGTGGAGGTTAGATAACATATATGTCTAGAAAATGTGTCCCAACATAACAGGTACAGCTCGTTTCGGAACTTGGTCGTTTCATACCTAGACGATTTGTACCTAGGTCGTTTCGTAACTCTGATGTTTCCTACTTGTTATAATTTTAGACAGGTGTAACTTACCTGTGTCTGTGTGAGAATGAAGTTAGTTTTAATTATTTTGAAATCCAGCAAATTTTAACTTTAGAATCTGTTGAAAAAGAAACGGACATACAGAAACGTTTCCAATGTTGGTCCTTTTGTTAGAGATTTTAGTTGTGATGTCATTTTCAATGTAAACAAAGAAACGCTATGATCAGGAAATGTTTTTTTTTCATATGAAAGAATTATATTATATTTAAATAAGATTGTAATCATTAATATCTTTAAACGAAGACGATACCAAGTCGGCTTGTTATTATTATCAGATACTGAAATCTGACTGATTGATCAAGTGATTTCCCCACGAGAACACATTTATTTTAATTGTTTTACTAGCAGTATTCTTTAGGAAATGAAAAACAAAAATTTGCAGGAAACAAAATAATGCTACTTCCTGTATATGCAAAGTCCTTTGACAAACGAGACTGGAAGAGAGAACAATACAGAAAAAAGTTTCTGCGCAAATGCCGGAAACCGAAAAAATTAGAAAAAAAAGTTAACAATTTTGAGTCCATTAATATGCTGATTTTTATATTGATTTTTCATTTTATTGATTACAGTTATTGGAGACAAAGTCCCCGTAATTCATGATGATCTGAATTTGTAGGTTCTGGAAGCATTGTAGATTATTATAGATATATTGATGTCTGCCAAGTGCATTGATGTCACCAATAGTCCAATACACCACACATCTTTATTTTAGATTGTCCCTAGTCTATGAAAGTTTTTCACCTTTGTTTTTATGCCCCTTCTGTAGTGGAGGGGGCATTAAGTTTAACCCTTGTCCGTCTGTACGTACATACGTCTGCACGTCCCAAAATTAGTTTCCGTTCTCTAACTTGAGTTTGCCTCAACCAAATGTTATGAAACTTATTAACAATGCTTATTACCACAAAATACAGATCAAGTTTGAATTTTGGTGGCGTCACTCTAACTGTTCTAGAGTTATGCCCCTTTAGAAATGAAAAAATTGCAAAATTTTTAGTTTCCGTTCTTTAAGTTAAGTTTGCCTCAACCAAATGTTATGAAACTTATACACAATGCTTATTACCACAAAATAAAGATCAAGTTTGAATTTTGGTGGCGTCACTTTAACCATTCTCGAGTTATGCCCTTTATAAATGGAAATAAATGCAAAATTTTTAGTTTCCGTTCTCTAACCTAAGTTGCCACAACCAAATGTTATGAAACTTATACACAATGCTTTTTACCACAAAACACAGATCCAGTTGAATTTTGGTGGCGTCACTTTAATCATTATCGAGTTATGCCCCTTTATAAATGGAAAAATTGCAAAAATTTTAGTTTCCGTTCTGTAACTCAAGTTTGCCCCAACCAAACATTATGAAACTGTTACACAATACTTATTACCACAAAACTCAGATCAAGTACAAATTTGGGTAGCGTCACTTTTATTGTTCTTGAGTTATGTCCCTTTATAATGTTGTATGCAAGCTGGGGCATCATCTGTGTCCATGGGGACACATTCTCCATTTATTTTTTACTGTTTTAACTTTTATAACGGGCTTTAGTTCTAAATCCAGTTACAAGTTTACAAAGGTTTCTCTCAACAGATATTTTCTCAGATACTGCTAGTAGTATTAATAGGTCAACTATATTCTGTGTAAAGCATGATTTTTAGGAGTACTTAATGTGGTATGATGCAAAAGAGACAACTATCACACAGAGACCAAAGTATGTTTTGTAAAAAATACAGGTCACAATATATAGCTTTCAACAATAAGCAACACCACTAATCTGGATTTTGCTATGAAAGGCCCTGACCATTCCAAATGTGAAACAGTTAATAAGAGAACTTTAACAACCTGATTTATTCTAAAAACTTTGTGAACGAATAAAAGTTATGGCAGACAGCAACCAACAACCCTTGGATGACCAGCTGATACAGCAAGCGATCATATTCTGTGTTTGCATGAAGCTGATTAAAAATGAAAAATGTCTAGACATCTAGTCATTTATACAAACTTTTTGTTTTGCAGAACCTACCACCGAAAGGGTCACCAAAGCTTGAAGATGTTTACACAGTATGGCAGAGGTAATTTACTAGATACATGGAGATAATGCACATTATAAGTACATTTCCTTACTTTCTTTGTCAGATCTCCAAATGAATGAAGACATACAAGGACATTGCTAGATTAAATTTTCATTATTAACTTTCTTTGGTAGTGTAAAAAGTCATTTGTGGGTAAAGATTGCATGAAATGCAATTAAAACCTTATGGTACTGACTTGATATCTATATCTTCCAAGGTTGATTACTACCTTTGATAGTTCAAACAAAATAGTGCAGTGAAGTGATCATTATTTAGATCCTATCCAGTCAATGTCCTGCAATTTATTGATGATATGTTATACTTTGATATTTAAGTTACAATATGATGTGTATTTGAATTACCATACTTGTAAAGAAAACATTTTTGTCGAGCCTTCGACTTTTGTCGAAAAAGCGAGACATAGCGATCCTACATTCCGTCGTCGTCGTCGGCGGCGTCCACAAATATTCACTCTGTGGTTAAAGTTTTTGAAATTTTAATAACTTTCTTAAACTATCCTGGATTTCTACCAAACTTGGACAGAAGCTTGTTTATGATCATAAGATAATATTCAAAAGTAAATTTTGTAAAAAAAAAATTCCATTTTTTCCGTATTTTACTTATAAATGGACTTAGTTTTTCTGCCAGGAAACATTACATTCACTATGTGGTTAAAGTTTTTGAAATTTTAATAACTTTCTTAAACTATCCTGGATTTCTACCAAACTTGGAAAGAAGCTTGTTTATGATCATAAGATAGTATCCAGAAGTAAATTTTGTAAAAAAAAATTCCATTTTTTCCGTATTTTACTTATAAATGGACTTAGTTTTTCTGCCAGTTAACATTACATTCACTCTGTGGTTAAAGATTTTAAAATTTTAACAACTTTCTTAAACTATCCTGGATTTGTACCAAACTTGGACAGAAGCTTCTTTATGATTAAAAGCTAGTATCCAGAAGTAAATTTTGTAAAAAAAAAAATCCATTTTTTCCGTATTTTACTTATAAATGGACTTAGTTTTTCTGCCAGTTAACATTACATTCACTCTGTGGTTAAAGTTTTTAAAATTTGAACAACTTTCTTAAACTATCCGGGATTTGTACCAAACTTAGACAGAAGCTTGTTTATGATTAAAAGCTAGTATCTAGAAGGAAATTTTGTTCCATTTTTTCCGTATTTTACTTATAAATGGACTTAGTTTTTCTTCCAGTTAACATTACATACAGTCTGCAGTTTAAGTTTTTAAAACATTTATTAGATTCATAAACTATCCTGGATTTTTACCAAACTTGGACAGAAGCTACTTACAATCAAAAGATAGTATAGAGAGGAATAATTTTATTAATTTTTTTCCTCATTTTTGCTGAGCCTGTGATTAACAGCAAAAAGTAGGCGAGACACTGGGTTCCGCGGAACCCTTACGAATTTTTTTATGAAAAATTACACAAGTAATGCATGGTGTATGAATCTGTTATAAAAATAGGTTCAACTACAAATGTACAATAACGAACAAAGGAAGATAACTCCAACTCAAATTTTTAACTTGCCTAGCAAAGTAATTTAATGTTTTATTTTTAAAATTCACAAAATTGCATAATGAAAGCAATCATTACCCTTCAGTGTTCACAAGCACTTTGATTAGGTCATTGGTAAGGCCAACTAAAATTAATTAGTAGATTTTCATTCAACTTTTGGGAAAAATTTGGGAGGGTGGGACTATTTTTTTTTTTTTTTTTATTTCCTCAGAAACCAAATTGGTCCAAATTTCCCTACACAAAGTCATTGTATAAATAAAAAAATCAAAAGTTTTCTAATCACTGAAATTTGTCATGTACCGAGATTTGTGTTCTTTGACACAGGTCACTGCTAATTATTCATGAGATGAATATTTCAGGCCCTTCCTGTAAATCTCTCCTACTCTCAATGTATCTTAACAATTATAGATCGACTTAATAATCCTGGTTAAACTACTAGAAGAAATGCGAAAACTGTGCTGATATTTTTCCATAGGAAATTTTGTATGACACGAAATTGTAAGCACGGTTTCCAGTAACAGAAATGAAAAAATCAGTAAATTTTTGAAAATAAAAAAAATCTAGGCGGGACAATTTCAGGGGGGCGGGCAGAGATGAAAATCAATCAATTGATTTTAATTGGCCTAATTAAAAAGAATTGACACCAATTAATTTTAATTTTATAAATACATTTAATATTGCTGATTTTATAAGCCTTCAGTGAAAAAGACCCCTTTTGTTTTTTGGTTCACTTGGTCAAACGTTAAAGTTACATCAGTGATTAATAGACTGAAATTTGGCCAAATCAATTGACATAAATTGTCAGCAGACTTAACAGTCTTTATCAACAAAACACCCAAAATTAGTACACAACCCCAAAAATGTTTCTTTTAATATAAATCAATAAAGATAGCCACTCGGCTATTCCATGATGCTTATGAATTTTCCTACATTTTCTACAAATTTAAAGTAGTTAGCATAAAACTCATTTTCTTAGCTCCAAAAACAGGCCTTAATGCCCCTACTCTTGTACAGTAGTAAGAAAAATCTGAACCAACTGGAATGTACAGTTGTCATTTAAATGTATATATTTATTGCAGTTCTAATGGAAAAAGGAAAAATGGAGACACGCCCACTTCTGGTAACAAAAAGGCAAAGACTGAATCATCGTCAGACTCCTCGGATAGCAGGTACTTATATACAATGTATTTACAGTAAAATATTGCCATAATTTGCCTAGAAATTTATGTGTTATTACATGTTTGACAATTGACTGAGTTAGAATTGGTAGGTTTGTATTCAAGCAAGAAGTATTTAAAAAGGTCATGTCTTCTATTAAAAAAAATAGAAATAAATGACAGAGATTTCTAGATATTTAAGGAATCAGAATATGTAAGATAGATACATTTTATATCAGAGCTTGAAAGGCACATAAAAATTGTCAATAAAATTTTAATTCCAATTAAGCACGACAATTTGTGTTGGTGATCATGGTGTCATAACGGTCATCCAAAATTAATACAAAAACATTTCTTTTTTAATGTATTCAAACTGTTTTTATAGCATTACCATTTTAAAGTGGTTATTTGCAAACATCAAATAATTCATTGATGCTTGCAGAAATTTAAATGATATATGCCCCAAGCAGGCTCACTAGATATTCTTTCTGATAATGTCTGTATCAAAAACAAAAATGCCATTTTCTATAATTATTCCATATATCCAGCTCTTCCAACAAAATTTTAAAAATAACTAATTAAACGTATACCATATTTATTTTCAGTGACTCAGAAGATGAGAAGGCTCAGAAACAGAAAGATAAAACACCAACGAAGAAGAGAGGAAGACAGTCATCAAGCTCTAGCTCCTCTGACTCGTCTGATGATGACTCTGCTAAAAAACCAGCAGTTAAAAAAGTAGCTGTAACGTCAAAAACTGGAAACAAGCCTGTTGTAACACCCAAGAAGAAGGCAAACAATGACAGCAGTGGTACATCTGATTCTGATGCAGATTCTGAAAGCTCTGATAATGAATCATCAAAAAAAGTTCCTGCCAAGAAAAAGCAGCCATCATATAACAATGTGCCACCACCAGGAGCTCTTACACCAAAAGGAAAAAGTCCTGCAGCAAAAAATAAAAAAGCAGAGAGTAGTTCTAGCGATAGTTCATCAGATGAAGAGGATAAAAAGAAGGCAAAGAAACCAATTACACCTGCAAAATTAGCCTCCAAAACTTCAACTCCAGCCAAGAAACCAGACAGTTCTAGTAGCAGTGAGTCTGATAGCTCTGAAGATGAGACTAAGGCAGCTAAAAAAACAAAAACAGCTGTGAAAAAGGCTGTTACTCCATCTAAACAGAAAAAGGAGTCCAGTAGTAGTGATGACTCTGACAGTTCTGAGGATGAGAAGAAAAAAACAGTAAAAAAGACTGTCACTAAACAAACTACCCCAGCCAAGAAAAAAGCTGAATCCAGTAGCAGTGATTCTTCTGATAGTTCAGAAGACGAGAAACCTAAAACAGCTGCAAAGGCAGCTACACCTAAAGCAAAGGCTGCCACACCAGCAAAGAAGACACCAACAATGAAAAAAGCTGAATCAAGTAGCAGTGATTCTTCTGATAGTTCAGAAGACGAGAAACCTAAAACAGCTGCAAAGGCAGCTACACCGAAAGCAAATAATGCTACTCCGGCAAAGACACCAACAAAGAAAAAAGCTGAATCTAGTAGCAGTGATTCTTCTGATAGTTCTGAAGATGAGAAACCTAAAACAGCTGCAAAGGCAGCTACACCTAAAGCAAAGGCTGCTACTCCAGCAAAAAAGACCCCAACAAAGAAAAAAGCTGAATCTAGTAGCAGTGATTCTTCTGATAGTTCTGAAGATGAGAAACCTAAGTCCTCTGTGAAAGCTGCTACTCCGGCAAAGAAGACACCAACAAAGAAAAAAGCCGATTCTAGTAGCAGTGATTCTTCTGATAGTTCAGAAGATGAGAAACCTAAAACAGCTGTAAAGGCGACTACACCTAAAACAAATAATGCCACTCCAGCAAAAAAGACACCATCGAAGAAAAAAGCTGTATCTAGTAGCAGTGATTCTTCTGATAGTTCAGAAGATGAGGAACCTAAAACAGCTGCAAAGGCAGCTACACCTAAAGCAAAGGCTGCTACTCCAGCAAAAAATACACCAACAAAGAAAAAAGCTGAATCTAGTAGCAGTGATTCTTCTGATAGTTCAGAAGATGAGAAACCTAAAACAGCTACAAAGGCAGTTACACCTAAAGCAAAGGCTGCTGCTCCAGCAAAGAAGACACCTATGAAGAAAAAGGCTGAATCTAGCAGCAGTGATTCTTCTGATAGTTCAGAAGATGAGAAACCTAAAACAGCTGCAAAGGCGACTACACCTAAAACAAAAAATGCCACTCCAGCAAAGAAGACACCAACGAAGAAAAAAACTAAATCTAGTAGCAGTGATTCTTCTGATAGTTCAGAAGATGAGAAACCTAAAACAGCTGCAAAGGCGACTACACCTAAAACAAATAATGCCACTCCAGCAAAAAAGACACCAACGAAGAAAAAAACTGAATCTAGTAGCAGTGATTCTTCTGATAGTTCAGAAGATGAGAAACCTAACACAGCTGCAAAGGCAGCTACACCTAAAGCAAATGCTGCTACTCCGGCAAAGAAAACACCAACAAAGAAAAAAGCTGAATCCAGTAGCAGTGACTCTTCTGATAGTTCAGAAGATGAGAAACCTAAAACACCTGCAAAGGCGACTACACCTAAAGCAAAGGCTGCTACTCCGAAGAAAAAAGCAGATTCAAGTAGCAGTGATTCTGATAGCTCTGATGACGATAAAAAAGCTAAAACAACAAGTAAGCAGGGATCAAAAAGCAATACGCCAGTTGCTAAATCAGTGACACCCAAGACCAAAAAGGAGAGCTCTAGCAGTGAATCAGATTCTGACAGTTCCGATGAAGAAAAAAATAAAAAGCAAACAAAAAAAGCATTAACACCTAACAATAAATTAAATAGTTCTAAGACTACTAAAAAGGATAGTTCAAGTGATTCAGACAGTTCAAGTGAATCAGACTCAAATAAGAAAAGTAAAAACACTGCTGTAAATAATAAAAAAGTGAATACAAGTGTAAACAATAAGTCAAAAAAAGACAGTAGTTCTTCTGACTCAGACAGTTCAGATTCAGAGGAAGAGAAAAAAGTAATTAAATCAGGTGTAAAATCACTGAATAATTCCACAGTTAAAACACCTAAACAGACACCTATTAAAAAAGTGGATTCAGACAGTTCGTCTGATAGTTCTGATTCAGATTCAGGAAAGAAGCCATTAACATCTACACCAGCTGTTAATGGTATGGTTAATGGGAAGGGTAGTAGCAGTTCTGGAGAGGACTCTGGTGTGGCAATGATGAATGGAAAGGTAATTATATTGATTATATTGTATACCATTCATTTGAGATGATTTGTAAAAAATATATTTACTTACAAAATTTTCCATATCGTCATTGTCCATTTTAGCCTTCAATGTTCACTCTTGAATTTAGTAGTTTGAATTTTATTTTGTTGTTTATAATTTCTCCATCAGGACTTGATACATGTGAAATACTAAAACCTAGAGACATGCTATACCCCATATCCTTTGTTTTTCTATAATGCAAATAATATTTAATAATAACAACACTGATATTATGTTAATCGAGACAAGATAGCAGTAAAACAAATACTTTAAAAGAAGGCATTTGAATTATTTTTAGCAACATGGTTAAAAAAGAGAATGAAATAAAAGGTTAAACACACAAATCAGTTTCTGTATAGATTTTCATGTAAATTCACCAAAATGATTTTTTTTAATGAATTTATTTTGAGAAGTTATAAAAATAGTAGACTTTTTTCAATGTGAAAAAAAGATGCAGAATTTATGTAAGTGAGAAAGTAACCCAACAACCCTTAAAAGCTGAAAGGCAACTAGGCGTCAGCAGATTATCTATGACAAAAGAAAAGCATCTCTACCTTATGTTAAGCTGTAAATTATCTGGGTCAAATATAAAGCGGAATGTTACCTTTTGAACTGAGTGATAGCTCTTTATGTGTACTTGATTTTGAGGAAAAAACTACCAAAATCATATAATACATGAAGATTAATGTGTCATGAAATAAGTTACTATACAAAAATATGTCATGAAGCAAGTTACTATACAGAAATATGTCATGAAACAAATAACTATACAGAAATATGTCTTGAAACAAGTAACTATACAGAAATATGTCATGAAACAAGTTACTATACAGAAATATGTCATGAAACAAGTTACTATACAGACATACATGTATGAAACAAGTTACTCTACAGACATACATGTATGTCATAAAACAAGTTATGATACTGAAATGTGTCATGAAACAAGTTACTATACAAAAATGTGTTGTGAAACAAGTAACTATACAGAAATGTGTTGTGAAACAAGTTACTATACAGAAATGTGTTGTGAAACAAGTTACTATACAGAAATGTGTTGTGAAACAAGTTACTATACAGAAATGTGTTGTGAAACAAGTTACTATACAGAAATATGTCATCAAACAAGTTACTATACAGAAATATGTCATCAAACAAGTTGCTATACAGAAATATGTCATCAAACAAGTTACTATACAAAAATATGTCATTAAAAAAGCTTCTTTTCAAAAATTTACCATAACTACCCAAAACAACCAAGTGTATTCAAGTGAAACAAAAAATTGTACTTCAAAATTATGCATATATATTGGTGATCAGACATGCATTTATTAAAGGTTAAGTTTTATTTTTGACGCTGCTATGTAAAAAATGTAAACCTGACAAAAAAATAATGCTTGCAAAAAAAATAGTGCATATCAATGAGCATGTGGTTGACAGAATGGTCAAGGTTTCTTTATATTAAAATGATTTTTTGTTTTTTTATCAAGGATGAAAAAACTCCGAAGAAAAAGTCCAAGGAAGAGGTAATACTTTAAACTATCTTCTTTTTTTTTGTGTGATCAATATTAAAAAATTCGTAAGGGTTCCGCGGAACCCAGTGTCTCGCCTACTTTTGCTGTTAATCGCAGGCTCAACAAAAATGAGGAAAAAAATTAATAAAAATATTCCTCTCTATACTAGCTTTTGATTGTAAGTAGCTTCTGTCCAAGTTTGGTAAAAATCCAGGATAATTTATGAATCTAATAAATGTTTTAAAAACTTAAACTGCAGACTGTATGTAATGTTGACTGGAAGAAAAACTAAGTCCATTTATAAGTAAAATACGGAAAAAATGGAACAAAATTTTATCAAAATTTCCTTCTAGATACTAGCTTTTGATCATGAACAAGCTTCTGTCCAAGTGTGGTACAAATCCAGGATAGTTTAAGAAAGTTGTTAAAATTTTAAAAAATTTAACTACAGAGTGAATGTAATGCTAACTGGCAGAAAAACTAAGTCCATTTATAAGTAAAATCCGGAAAAAATGGATTTTTTTTTACAAAATTTACTTCTGGATACTATCTTATGATCATAAACAAGCTTCTTTCCAAGTGTGGTACAAATCCAGGATAGTTTAAGAAAGTTATTAAAATTTCAAAAACTTTAACCACAGAGTGAATGTAATGTTAACTGGCAGAAAAACTAAGTCCATTTATAAGTAAAATACGGAAAAAATGGATTTTTTTTTTACAAAATTTACTTCTGGATACTATCTTATGATCATAAACAAGCTTCTTTCCAAGTGTGGTACAAATCCAGGATAGTTTAAGAAAGTTATTAAAATTTCAAAAACTTTAACCACAGAGTGAATGTAATGTTAACTGGCAGAAAAACTAAGTCCATTTATAAGTAAAATATGGAAAAAATGGATTTTTTTTTTTACAAAATTTACTTTTGAATATAATCTTATGATCATAAACAAGCTTCTGTCCAAGTTTGGTAGAAATCCAGGATAGTTTAAGAAAGTTATTAAAATTTCAAAAACTTAAACCACAGAGTGAATATTTGTGGACGCCGCCGACGACAACGACGACGACGACACCGACGGAATGTAGGATCGCTATGTCTCGCTTTTTCGACAAAAGTCGAAGGCTCGACAAAAATGTAGCCATCATGTTTTCTGCCAGTGTCACAATAAAAGACAGTATGAAAAATATTTAAAAAATCAATATAGTTTAAACATATTTAATCTGCCTAAATATGCAAAAGGGATTAAACATAATTAAATCAAACTAAGTCTTTGCCAATATATAGGCGAAAAACAAAACTTCAGAAAAGCACCTAAGATATATGTCAAACTTAAGATTACCTACCACATGAAGAACTTATAATATTACACAAATAATTGCTCTGCTTTTGAAAAAAGGTTGTAGACCTGCAACCAGTCATGATATATACAAACTACAAAATATTACTGGCAGTAAATTGTAGAACTTTCTGAGAAAACAAATGCTTGGTTTTGGGGTAAAGATCAACTCTTATGGTACTGACTTGATATCTATATCTTGGAAGGTTTATCACTACCTTTATAGTTCCAACAAAATAGTGATTTGAAGTAATCATTCTTTAGATGCAATCCAGTCAATGTCATGCAATTTGTTACTGATATGTTATACTTAGGTATTCAAGCTATAATATGATGTGTAAGTAATGCATGCCATATGAATCTGCATAAAAATAGATTCAACTACAAATGTAGAATGTACAATCATGAACAAAGGAAGATAACTCCAACTCAAATTTATGATTTGTCAAGGTAAATGCATTTCATATACACTATATCATTCAAAAAGAAATATTCACATTATCGTTTGCTCAACATGGAAGCGGAGTACCAGGAGACTTGTACAAACAAACAAAAAATGTTTTTGTTTACCTGTTATTTGTACAATAGTTGGCTGATTGCAGGATAAAATGTTTTCTTTAAATTCACAAAATTGCTAAATGAAACCAATCTGTACCCTTCAGTGCTTACAAGCACTTTGATTATAAGAAGTATAATATAATTTAAAATTTAAAGACTAATAAAGCACATAACTTGATTCCTATTACTTTGTATACATGAAAGCTATTGTCTATAATACAGAACCATCGCATGCTGACATGGATCATATTTTGTTAAGAATTCACACAGAAACTGTAGAAAAATTTCTGTTTGAAGAACAAAACTAAATACACAAGAGTTTTATAAATTGTCCATAAAATTCCAAACCAATTTCATTTGTGGTAATGATTTTTTTAACAGAACAAAAAGACTCCATTTAGAAGAGTACAAACAGAATCTATAGACGTGGATGATCGACTCAAGGACAATTCTTTTGAAGCCAAGGTAAATAATTGGCAGTATTATTGTAAGTCTGGGAAGTCTGTTAGGACAGTTCACATATAGACCACATAGATTAGTACCACCAGTGAATCCATCCACATTATATATTTCTTTTTTCTTATACAACCTGGCCATTCTGGACCACATTTTTATGCCACAGCCGTCACTAGAGAGAGCATTAAGTGTTACCCTTGCCTCAACCAAATGTTATAAAACTTGTACACAATGCATATTACCACAAAATATATATCAAATTGGAATTTGGGTGTTGTCACTTTTACCGTTCTCGAGTTATGCCCCTTTATAACGTTATATGCAAGCAGGGGCATCATCTGTGTCCCATGGACACATTCTCCATTTATTTTGAATAATGTACAGAAGGTTCCTTATAAAATTATCTTAATTTGTTATTCTTTGTTCTGACCAGATTCCAGAGGCATTTTTTAGAACTAAGTGATAAGTTTTCAAATTCCTGCTTCTCTTGAACTGCAAGAATAAATCTTTGATACCCTTATAAGAAAGATGGTCCACAAACTCACCATAAAAATTACTTATTTAGTACTGATCATATGGCATATAATGTTCATGGTGGCAGTTTAACTTTTTTTAACTTTTTTGGAACTTTTATAGCAATTTAAACCAGTCAGATTAAAGATAACCTAGTTGCCAGTACTTTAGTCTGATTGGTTAGCGTTCAAACTTTAAAAAAACTTATTGAAGAGGACTAATTGCTGCTGAACTTGGGAACTTTGTATGCTGTATTTATTTTGACCAGACATTCTTGATTTTGGCATGAATGATGTGTTATTTGATACAGACTGTTTTTAGCCTCTACTCAGAATTATTTTGTTATTTTGTTTTTCTTTTAGTCTGGTGCTTATGGATCCTGGGGAGAGAAGGCTAACAAAGACCTCAAGTTTACAAAAGGTAAATCATTCAGACATGAAAAGACAAAGAAAAAACGAGGAAGTTACAGAGGAGGAGCTATAGATACAAGTGTTCATTCTATTAAGTTTGATGATGAATAACATTTATTTATTTAATATGAATATCAATGTCATGAGAAGAATTGTATAAGATATATAAGGTGTTTGTCTTTTTTAAATGCTGAATTTTTCACTTAATCATGTCCCTGTTTAAGAACAGTATTATTTATAGGTTACAAGTTTCATGGATTTCTACAAGTACTTTCATAGTAACACTCCAGAAACTAAATGAATTGAAACTCGTAGGATAAAGTTTATCATATCATGTGATGGTACCTAAGAATTGTAACTTGAAACTTTTTCCACAAATAGAATTACCACAAATAGAATTGTTTTGAAGACAAGTTTTTGATATTGGGACATCATGGAATATTTAATAATTGAATAGGAACTTCTGGTTTGCAAATGTCAATAATCTTGGTGTACAGTTAACATTTACCTTTATGTTTATACTTATCTGAATAAAAACATTGGAGTAATTTATCTGTTGAATTGTGTATATTTTTTATTTCCTTGGTGCTTTTTTCCAATAGAAATGAATGTTTGTTGTGAAAAGAATTCACTATTTTCAGTGCAATAGCAATGAAGTCATTTCTCTTAAACTAAAGTGGTCAATAATTTGTATTTAATGAAATATTTTCTAGTCCTGTTCAAAACATTTTTAGAACTTAATCACCTTAATCCATTACAGTAACTTCGTTAAAATTGTTTTCACTTTATGTATTGCTCTATTTCACTTAACATTATTTGGTTTATTCAGAGATATCCGTCGTTTCAGAATCTAATGCATTCTGGGTAATATTTTCAAAAGCATACAGGAAAACTTTGTGATAGGCTAACATTATCATTGATAATGAATATGATATACAATACTAAAACAATGATGTGATATTATTTTCATTATGGGGTACAAATAATGAAATTACCCATAATCCATTAGATTCTGAAACAGCAAATTGATTGATGATTGAAGTATGTAGAAAAAAGCCCAAACATATAATCGCTCATATATATTATGGAGGTTTTGTTGTTATGCTATTTTATCATTTTATGTCTTTATTGTCTATGGACATCATACAATTTAAAAAAAAGTATTTAATTGTTACATTTCTGATTAGAAAATGTTCATTTTACCTTAAATACTTTTGTTCATTTCATTCCCAAAAGACATGGTAATATTTTTGTTGTCATTATTGTTGAAATAATATGTAAACCTCATTTAGATTTCATTGATAATGAATATGATATACAATACTAAATGGGACAAGTTTCCAGAAAAAGTACACAAGTTTCAACTTAAGTCGTCAAAAAGTAATTATATTATGCCCCTTTAAGTATTAACTCCAAGCCTGTTAAGATGCTAGGGGTTTATTATATTACTATTCATGGGATAATAATTTCCATTCTTTTTTACATGGTAAGAACAAGTGTTTTAGATCTTCCATTGTATTTGCAACAAATATTACACTTCACTGAATTCCCTATAGTAAAAACTAATTGGACAGTGAAAATGAATGTATTCTTTGATACTTCTGGTAGTATTTTGTTCAGGGACAGTGAAACATATTTTTCTTTGATACTTCTGATAGAATTTATTTTGTTCACATCTAGATGTAGGCTATTAAATTATCATATTTTTCAAAAAGTATTTCTTCACAAATATGTTGTCTGGTGTAACAACAGTAAAACTGATTACAAAACAATAGTTTTGCATGCACAGAATTCTATCGGATTGTAATATTATACATTTTGATCCTATAATGTTAAACAATGGCAGAGTTTTATTTTAGAACTGAATGCATACTTGTACTTTGTTATATCAAAAAATCATAATAAACAGGTACACAATGAAGTAGTCTTTTTTTTTTTAGAATAACTGAGAAATATCTTTTAAACTCCTTTGGTAAATGGCCCTAGGTTTGGGTATCTTCCTCTTTGTTTTTATATTTTTGATGGTTGGGATTTGGTATGTGTAGCTATGCTTCATATTAGGAATTCTGGTACAAACATTTACAAATTCTGATCAATAACTTTGATGCTTTGGTTTGGATAGCCCTGCTTTGTGTTCTGGTACATTTACAAATATATTCTACATAGAGAATCCCTGGAATTACATTGGTGATGATAATGATAAGAATGATAGTTTGGTGTTAAATGTTCTGTGGCAAATATTACATGCTTATCAAAACAAGGATAATTTTTATATTTGAATATGAACCATGCTTTTTAGCTCACCTGGCCCAAATGGCCAAGTGAGCTTTTCTCATCACTTGGCGTCCGTCGTCGTTAACTTTTACAAAAATCTTCTTCTCTGAAACTACTATGCGAAATTAAACCAAACTTGGCCACAATCATTATTGGGGTATCTAGTTTAAAAAATGTATTCGGTGACCCGGCCAACCAACCAAGATGGCCGCCATGGCTAAAAATAGAACATAGGGGTAAAATGTAGATTTTGGCTTATATCTCTGAAACCAAAGCATTTAGAGCAAATCTGACATGGGGTAAAATTGTTTATCAGGTCAAGATCTATCTGCCCTGAAATTTTCAGATGAATCCGACAACCCGTTGTTGGGTTGCTGCCCCTGAATTGGTAATTTTAAGGAAATTTTGCCGTTTTTATACGACCGCAAAAAATTTTTGTGGTCGTATATTGGTATGACGTTGGCGTCGTTGTCGTCGTCCGGCGTCGTTGTCGTCGTCCGGCGTCGTCCGGCGTCGTCGTCGTCGTCCGAAGACACATTGGTTTCCGCACTCTAACTTTAGTTTAAGTGAATGGATCTCTTTGAAATTTTACCATAAGGTTCAATACCACAAAAGGAAGGTGGGGATTGATATTGGGGGTTATGGTACCAACAGTTAAGGAATTAAGGGCCAAAAAGGGGCCAAAAATAAGCATTTTCTAGTTTTCAGACAATAACTGTGGAATGGTGTATGGATCTCTCTGAAATTATACTACAAGTTTCCATACCACAAAGGGATGGTTAGGATTTGCTTTGGGGAGTTATGGCTCAAACCGTTTAGGAATTAGGGGCAAAAAAGGGGGAAAAACAAGGTTGTCCTGGTTAATGGACAAATACTTTAGTACAAAACATAATTTAAAGCAGTGTAAGGGAGATAAATCAAATACATCATTGAAATTATCTCCCTTACACTGCCTTTAAATTATGTATAAAGTAATGGTCAATGAACAATTAAGATAATTTAAAACAGTGTAAGGGAGGTAATCCAAATACAACGTTTTGGTTACTTCCCTTACTCTGCTTTTAAATTATGTTTAAAGAAATGCATATTTATAAAGGAAGACCAGTAAAAATATCTGCAAAGGTTGCATCTTTTTTTTTTACAAAAAAATCCATATGAAAGATTTGACACTATATTTTAAATTCTATTATAAAATAGATTAAGTTAGCACTATGGTAAATTTAAATGGGTAATTATGGTTGCAAACTCCATTGAAAAATTTCAAGAAGTAATCTTTAATTGCACAGTATGGCGCATTAGATTTGTAAAATCTTTGACCACATTTATTTATTTGTTATGCCGAATCTAACCGTGTATTTAGATTTTTAATTTTGGGTCCAGTTTTCAAATTGGTCTACTTTAAGGTCCAAAGGGTCCAAAATTAAACTTTGTTTGATTTTAACAAAAATTGAATATATGGGGTTCTTTGATATGCTGAATCTAAACATGTATTTAGATTTTTGATTTTTGGCCCAGTTTTCAAGTTGGTCCAAATTGGTGTCCAAAATTAAACTTTGTTTGATTTCAACAAAAATTGAATATATGGGGTTCTTTGATATGCTGAATCTAACCATGTATTTAGATTTTTTATTTGTGGACCCCGCTATCAAATTGGTTCATATTGAGGTCAAAAGGGTCCAAAATTAAACTTCGTTTGATTTCATCAAAAATTAAATTATTGGGGTTCTTTGATATGCCAAATCTAACCATGTATTTAGATTTTTAATTTTGGGTCCTGTTTTTTAAATTGGTCTACATTAAGGTCCAAAGGGTCCAAAATTAAACTTAGTTTGATTTTAACAAAAATTGAATTTTTGGGGTTCTTTGATATGCTGAATCTAAACATGTGTTTAGATTTTTTATTATGGGCCCAGTTTTCAAGTTGGTCCAAGTTGGGGTCCAAAATTAAACTTTGTTTGATTTCAACAAAAATTGAATATATGGGGTTCTTTGATATGCTGAATCTAAACATGTATTTAGATTTTAGATTTTTGGCCCAGTTTTCAAGTTCGTCCAAATTGGGGTCCAAAATTAAACTTTGTTTGATTTCAACAAAAATTGAATATATGGGGTTCTTTGATATGCTGAATCTAACCCTGTATTTAGATTTTTTATTTGTGGGCCCGCTATCAAATTGGGTCATATTGAGGTCAAAAGGGTCCAAAATTAAACTTTGTTTGATTTCATCAAAAATTGAATTATTGGGGTTCTTTGATATTCCAAATTTAACCGTGTATTTAGATTTTTTATTTTGGGTCCCGTTTTTTAAATTGGTCTACATTAAGGTCCAAAGGGTCCAAAATTAAACTTAGTTTGATTTTAACAAAAATTGAATTCTTGGGGTTCTTTGATATGCTGAATCTAAACATGTGTTTAGATTTTTTATTATGGGCCCAGTTTTCAAGTTTGTCCAAGTTGGGGTCCAAAATTAAACTTTGTTTGATTTCAACAAAAATTGAATATATGTGGTTCTTTGATATGCTGAATCTAACCATGTATTTTGATTTTGGACATTGGACCATAATAGGTAAATTAAAAAAAATCAATTTCTTAGACCACATTCTTTCTGTGTCAGAAACCTATGCTGTGTCAAATATTTAATCACAATCCAAATTCAGAGCTGTATCAAGCTTGAATGTTGTGTCCATACTTGCCCCAACTGTTCAGGGTTCGACCTCTGCGGTCGTATCAAGCTGCGCCTAGCGAAGCATTTTATTGGTTATTATCTTGAATATTATTATAGATAGAGATAAACTGTAAACAGCAATAATGTTCAGCAAAGTAAGATCTACAAATAAGTCAACTTGACCAAAATGGTCAGTTGACCCCTTAAGGAGTTATTGCCCTTTATAGTCAATTTTTAACAATTTTCGTAAATTTTTGTAATCTCTTACAAAAATCTTCTCCTCTGAAACTACTAAGACAAATTTAACCAAACTTGTCCACAATCATCATTAGGGTATTTAGTTTAAAAAATGTGTCCGATGACCCTGCCCCCGAACCAAGATGGCCGACATGGCTAAAAAATAGTACATAGGGTAAAATGCAGTTTTTGGCTCATATCTCTGAAACCAAAGCATTTAGAGCAAATCTGACGGAAAAAAATTGTTCATTAGGTCAAGATCTATCTGCCCTGAAATTTTCAGACCAATCAGGCAACACATTGTTGGGTTGCTGCCCCTGAATTGGTAATTTTAAGAAAATTTTGCAGCTTTTGGTTATTATCTTGAATATTATTATAGATAGAGATAAACTGTAAACAGCAATAATGTACAGCAAAGTAAGATCTACAAATAAGTCAACATGACCAAAATTGTCAATTGACCCCTTAAGGAGTTATTGCCCTTTATAATCAATTTTTTACAATTTTCATAAATTTTGTAAATTTTTGTAAATTTTTACAAAATATTTTCCACTGTAACTACTGGGCCAAGTTCATTATAGATAGAGATAATAGTAAGGAGCAAGAATGTTCAGTAAAGTAAGATCTACAAACACATCACCATCACCAAAACACAATTTTGTCATGAATCCATCTGTGTCCTTTGTTTAATATGCACATAGACAAGGTGAGCGACACAGGCTCTTTAGTGCCTCTAGTTCCACTTAGCTGGATTTTTAAATGAATAGTTCACTAGACTTAGGTAACGGTCCGCAGGAAGGCATGTCACTTTGAATGCATTATTCTGACTTGGAGGTGAATATTTCACTCTTGCTACTACATACCCTGTTCTGAGTAAAGAAGCAGCTAATATCAATTTTCCAATTTTAGTGCTTTTGCTTAGATATATTAGATATTAGCACTATGTTCCATGGTAGAATGTGAAGCTTGACATGGAATAATAATTCTATAACAAAACTTCCTGACAAAAGTGCCAACATGTACAGAATTGGTTTCATTTTATTTCTTAATTTGGAGAACATCAACAAATTTTTTGATAGCTTTCAAAGGCCAAATGATATTAAAGTTATGATTGGGAGACCCTGTGTGATGCTAATTGGTGGAACAAAAAATGTAGAAGATACATAGGGACAATCAAAATCCAGAAGTGGGAGAAACACCAAATACACAATTAAATAAGATGCAAAAACAACTAATGGAGAAAGACAACACCAAATACACGAAAGAAATAAGATGCAAAAACAACTATCAGTCCATAGAAAACTAAAGATTGGACAACATGAACTCCCAACGAAAATAGGGGTGAACTCCAAATTGCTCCTGGAAGGTAACAATTCCTGTTTCATAAGTGTCAACCATCGTGTTGATCATTATAAATTTGAATTTGTTTATCTCCTACAAATTTTATATTATGCCGAATGTAAGAACACATTTTAAGGTTGTGCATATTTTCAGGATTTTGATCATGGTCTAACTTGTGACTTCTGACTAACTTCTAGTTCCCTATCTAGATATTGTTTTCATTTCTTGGCAGCAAAGGGCCAAGGCATATAGTTTTATCCATCTGTCCTCTTATTTTGTCTTTCTAAAGTAAAACGGATGTCCTAGACTTTTTTCGTTACAGATATTGATCTTGATGTTTTTGTGCATTAGTGTAGAATGATTACATACAGACAGAGTTTGTGTTTCATTCCAGTTCCAGAGGG